TACCTATCATCTATATATCATCTATCAATCTATCATCTATCTATCAATCTATCATCTATCTATCTATCATCTATCTATCTAATCTATGTATGTATCTATCTATCATCTATCTACCTATCATCTATATATCATCTATCAATCTATCATCTATCTATCTATCATCTATCTATCTAATCTATGTATGTATCTATCTATCATCTATCTATCTATCATCAATCATCTATCTATCATCTATCAATCTATCATCTATCTATCTAATCTATGTATGTATGTATGTATGTATGTATCATCTATCAATCTATCATCTGTCTATCTATCTATCATGTAATTTATTTATGTGCATACACGTGTGTATGTGCCATGGCATGCATGTGGAGATCAGAAGACAACTTGTAGGAGTTGGTTTTCTCTTTCCATCATGTGGGTTCAAGGAAACAAACTCAGGTTCTCAGCCTCAGTGGCAAGCTCCTTTACCCACTGAACCACCTCTCTGGCCTTCATGATTGATTTTTATCAATTTTTATTGAGTTAGAATGTTTGTACTGTATGCAAACATAATAAATATAAGTATACATACTGATGTCCTAAGATGCTTAATTGTAACCAAAGATTGTATAAGCATATATAGTTTACCTGCCAGTTTTTTCAAAATTGAAATTTTAGAAACTTTGAAAATCCATAGAAAACATGTAGGATGTTTAATGAGACCCTTTCTCAGATATTATCTTATAAAGCCACTTTTGTACATTGGCCAATTGTTAACTGCCAAAAAGAGATTTTTAGTTTTGATAAATAAGAAGATATTGAATATCTTTATATCAACATGCTCTGAGAGTTCTTGTCCTTTCGATGAACTGGGGAGCTTTCAAATGCCCTTCAGGAAAGGATAACTTGTGCTTTTCCAAGGATTTTTAGAAGATTATTAATACATTGCAGAATTTCACATATAAAATATCTCAAAAACAAGGCCTTCAGAAAGGAATTTATTTGCCTCTAGTGCATCTAAATGCATGCATCCTGTTAAATATCTAATTATATTATGTGAATACCTGGAAGAAGAAATCCAAAACTCCAGCCAGATTGCCAGGAGAATAGGCTGTTTCCAAGGCAACCCCCTCTTCTACACACTCTGTCTGCTCTTGTAGGAAAAGCACTTCATTGATATAGTGATGTATCTTCTCGTTGGTCATGTTGACACAAAGCTTTGATGGGAAGAAAACAAAACAGCAGATTAACAGCCAGCCGTGCAGAACCACTCTCGGTAAGATGGTTTCACCCCATGACATACGGGCTGGGGACATTTAGACTAATTAGTCCATTAAGAAGACTCAGGGGTATTGCCTGAGAAGGCAGCTTCACTTGGTGACTTCTCGGGTTGTATTGTCTGAATGTTTAATTTGAGTTTGTTCAAAACAACAGGTAAAACCACAATATCGACCTGTAGATGTTGAGTCTCAGGCACAGTTAAGCACTAAAAACTATTTCTAAAAGGAAGACATATTTGGGTTTTCCTCAGATGAAGATGAAACTCTGTCTGCTGTGGGGTTGCAGAGAGAGGAGAGGCTTGTGTTTCTCCTGCAGCTTACTTCTGGGTCATAGTAGGCAAAAGCTGACATAAATCTCCTCTGGAAATTACATCCAGCCTAAGGATTTAATCACAGAAACAACATTCTTACTGAAATAGATTCCTCCAGCTATTCATCCTTCCTCTTTCTACAGAACTGTCTTACCAGGAAGATAATGTTTCTTAATCTCAATTTTTTCTTCTTAATATATTTTTATTTATTCTTTCCAATTTCATATAAACACACCCTCATATGTAGAGTATTTTGATCACATTTACCCCTATTTTCTTCTTGTAACCCCCTTCCCCTCACACTGTACCCCTTCTCCTTCCCAATAATTCCCCTTTCTACTTCCAAGTCTTCCTCTGTAATGTACTGCATTCTTCTGTGGTGTCTGTATCAGCATGGATGAGAGCAAGTTATTTGAATAAGAGCAACTCACCAGTGGCTGAGGGCTATGACTCCCTTCCCCCAGCAACCATTAACTGTTTCTAACTAATCAGGAAGGGGTGGGGCCTCGTGAGCCCCTCCCCAGACCATGGTGGAGTTTTCACAGGTCTTATGCAGGTAACCACAGATGCTCTGAATTCAGGAGTGTAGCAACCATGCGAAGTGCAAAACAATCAATTCTAACAATAAAACCTTCTCTTCTGGGTTACACTCCTGCTTTCTTGCCTATTTATTTATTTTTATTGCTAGAAAATTTCATGCACGTGTACAATGCATCTTGATCATATCCACATCCTCTTCTTTCTCCCCATAATTCCCCACTCCTGCACCTGTAAACATGTCATCCTTTCAACTTCATGTTCTCTCTTTTTAATAGCCCACTGAGTTCATTTAGTACTACTATATGTACATGGTTGTGGGGTCATCTACTGGGGCCTAGACAATCTACTAGTAGCACCTCCCAAAGTAAAGCGACTCTCCCTTTCTCATTAGCCATGAACTACCAATAGCTCCTCAAGCAGGGGAAGGTCAGGATGCTCCCTACCCTTCATGCTAGAAGTTTTCACTGGCTTGATCTTGTGCAGGTCTTGTGCAGATAGCCATAGCCTTCTTCTATATAAAGAAAAAAATCACAAAGGCTGTTTCTACTTACCACCTGAAATATACCTCACAGCTCTTGAAATTCTCCACTAAACCTTTTGCCCCCATGACTCCACCAACACTGCTTTTCTATAAGGCACCAGTGACACCTGCATTTCTAAGTCCCATGTTCAGTTTTCGACAGCTACTGCTCTTGTTTCCCCAGGGATATCTGACAGTCATCTGCTCTCTTGGGCACATCCTTTGTGGTGTTGGGCCTTGGTCTCCTTTCTCCTTGATGAATCCTTCCTGACTGGTCCCACAGGTGCCTTCCTGGGCTCCATCCACCTGCCTCATCTCTGCTCTGCCTGTACTCACCACTACAGCACTCCCTCAGGCTCACAGACCATCACACTCCTCCATCTGCTTCTGGAGCAGCTCTGAATACTGTAACTAAACCAGTGTTTCCTAGTGTTCCATTCCATGGGAAGAACCACTTGTTTTGTGTGCATTTATGGTGAACGCTGAGTGGCAAATTTTAATAATTTTATAGCTCTTTTTATTCCTCTGTATCAAAATTATCTCAGTGTTAGAGGAATTTAACAAAATTTTAAATGGCAGGAACACAAAAATACATTTTTGAAGCAAAGTGAAATAACTTTGACCACTATTATCATGAATGTCTATCTTTTGTTAATAATTAAAGTGAAAATGACAAGTGAAAATAATGCCGTGATAGCAGGGATTCTACTGCATACAAGTTCGGTAGAGTTTTATTGACTCCGCCCTGTGTTTCCAGCACCACACCTGGGGGCTTATGCACCAGGAGAGGCACATGGAAAGTAGCCAAAAAGATCTGATTGATATTAGCTTTGACATCATAATACATGGGGGTGGATGGGCCAGCTGGACAGTATCAGGAATGAATAAGAAAACACACGCCCTGGGACACTTAGACACATTCTGCCTCCCTCCCTTTGCCAGCTGTAATATGTCTCCCCATTCAGACTATTTTTCCAATGGCCACCATGCAGGCAGCCTGTGATATCCCATTTCACCTTTCCAACCCCTGCTTCAGTCACACCTTCAGCCATCAGTTCAGTCAGCTGAATGGTTTATTTTTATTTGAGAAAACTGATCACCTACAGTATGTGCTTATATAAGAAAAATTTTGCTTTAATTATAAGAAACCTCCAGCTTTCCATACACCCCATGAAACTCATTGTTAAAAGGAAGAGAGGAATAGCTTTAGCCAAATACAATCAATCAATCATCAATCAATCAATAAGGTGGGCTGGCAAGATGGCCCAGAGTGTAAAGGTGCTTGCTGCCAAATCTGATGATCTGATTTTGTATTCCATGCATCCAAATAGTGGAAGGAGAGAACTGATGTCCAGAAAATTGTCCTCTGAAACACACAAACATACACACATACGTGCACGCACGCATGCATGCACACATACGTACACACAAAATAAATAAGTAAATAAATAAATGTAACAAAAATTAAAACAAAAGAAAAAGAGGATTCTAGAGGACGTAGTGCTCACGGTTGGCGGTGGGAGGGGGAGGATGCAAATAGGAATTCCAAGTTTAAAGAAATGATCTGGAGTTCTTTAGGTTTTAACAGGACTCGAAAGCCAACGACAATGTTGTTTGGTTTTTGTTTATTTTTAACTAGGTCTTTTTTGCAGTAAGTTGCAGTAGAGAATTCAAGTCTATAGAAATTCTCTTACCCTGTGAAATCAGAGATGTGAAAAATATGACCAGAAAGTAAAAGTTCTGCAGTGTGGATACTTCACCTTGTTCTAGGAATTTGTTACTACTGTATGGCTGCCAATATGTAATATTTACATCTTATTTTTTTAATTTTTTAAAAATATTTTATTTACTATTTTTATTTTATGTGTATGAATGTTATACCTGCATGTAGGTAAGTGTACCTGTGTGATGCAATGCCTGCGGAGGACAGAAGAGGCTGTTGGATACCCTGGAACTGGAGTTACGGAAAGTTGTTAGCTGCCATGTGGGTGCTTGGATTTGAACCCGGGTCTTCTTCAAGAATAGTCAGTGTTCTTAACTGCTGAGCCATCTCTCCAGCCCTTCCATCTTATGTTTAAGATAGTGATACTGATGAATATATTTTTATTCTCAGAATATGTACTTATATCTTATTTTGATGTAGTTATACTGATAAATATTGTATTTGACATATTTCCATATATGAAAATTCTCTACTTTTTATATTACTAATAAAATATTTGTCCATGTTCATCTGTTATTAGAGTAACTTAGCTACATCATTCTTAAGAAACCCAAGACTCTTGGCTCTCCAAGCTCTGGCTCAGTGGTGGCCCCAAACTTCCCCTGTTCTTGTGCTCTGATCACCTGGTTTTGAGGCTGTTGGATGTCCCCACTAGAAAGTGAATCCTCAGCTTTGTGGCAAGCCAGCCTCATCTCAGCACAGACTGCCTCTGTGTTCTGTGTCTCCCTCTGCGCTCTGACCCATGCTTAGCACCCTAACGTCTGCTTTCTGTGCTTGCCTTGGGCATCTTCCTGTAGCCAGAATCCCACCATCTTCCTTGCTTCCAAAATACTGCGTCTGTGACATGGCACCTCTTCCGTCAAGGGTCAAAGTGTGTGAGCCCCTCAGTTCATCAGTCACCAGACCCTGGAGGCAGGGGCACCCTACCCCAGGAGAATTAGATCCTCTTTGGTGCTGCTCACTGGGAAAGTGACTTGTGTCACTGATTGGCAGCTGGGAAACAAAGGATGCCATTATGCTCTTAAGAGAGAAAATAGATCCTGGCTGCTACCTCAGGACAGAGGCCCAGAGGGAATTAGTTCGTACAGCTGGTGTGATGACTTTAGACCTGGGGAAGATTTGGGGTTCCTGGAGAGCAGGGGCCCAGGGCGATCTTTCCAGAGAAAACTGGTGATTATGTTCCAGTCTTAATCTCTGAACAGACTCTTTTGTACTTCCTTTGCTTTAATTTCATTCTAAACCTAATCCTAGATGTTGCTTCCATCTCACATGAGTTCCGGTCTCTTCTGCAGCTTTTGTCAATTTTTCCATCCACAGCAGCCATTCATCTTCAAATACAGTGAGTTGAAAAGCACTAAGAATGTCCACTTCATCTTTGGACTGTACTTGGTGTGGCGCAGCGGCCTGGGAGCAATTAAATGCATAAGTCTTTCTGAGGAATGAACTTCAGAACGACCAGTAAATGTTAACAAGACGGAAAACACACATCTACCACCCTATGCCCTGTACCAAGTCTAAAATCCCTTCTCCCCAAAAAGTACATTTCACCTAACAAAGGAGACTAAAACTGACCAGAACTCTACAGTCATTTTCACTAGGTGTGTGTGTGTGTGTGTGTGTGTGTGTGTGTGTGTGATACATTCAGACATATGAGAGAGAGAGAAAGAGAGAGAGAGAGAGAGAGAGAGAGAGAGAGAGAGTGTATGTGTACAAGAACATTAGTCGCCTTTCTGGAAGCATAAATCTGCGGTCATGTTCTAGAGGACATTGACTTCCATGTAAACAATCCTTATTTTTGCTTTTCAATTCTGCCTAGCAGAATTGTGCTAAGGGTGTGTAAGAT